ATTTTTGATATACTTGTGTTTTACATAATTCTTACCCTCTTCAGGAAGGATTAATCGTTGTGGCTCTTTACTTGCTCCTGTACATGTTGGAATATGCTTTTCTAATAAATCTAGTCGACTATAAGGAAATCGTAAGCATTTTCGGCAAAAGTATTTTTTTCCATGATGGTTATTCCACTTACGTATTAATCGAGTAAAATCTGTTATAAATACGTAATACGTTTTTAATCCTTCTGGTATATCATTTGTATTTTTTCGGTCATTTAAATTCTCTTCACCTTCTGTTAAATATAATAAATCTATCATATGTTCGACTTGATAATTTCTTTCAGAGATATGTAATAGGTCTATATCTACTTTTATTTTTCTGAACACTTCTTTATACACTGGCCTAAATATATTTATAGCATAGTTTGGGTTATTTTCCTCGAATTTATCAATATCATGTAGTGTTGCTGGAAAATTTATGCCTTCAAAATTAGCTATATTACCATATCGTCTAATCTTGCTTATACGTTCAAGATGTGTAGGTTTTTGTCCTGCTTTTAGTGCATCTTCTCTTGCATGGTGTATATTAACACAATCTCTAAAGCATTCATTGTCTTTGAAATTTTGTGGATTAATTAAACCGAGCTGTGGCTTATCTAAATCTTCTGGTAAAGATAGCCAACTACTATCTCATAATGGTCTGAATGCGCTTATTTCAAGAAATACTTCTACTGCTCGTACAAAAGCCCATCCAGATTCTTGTATTGCTTCATCCTCAATCTGGTCTATAATTTCATTATATCCTTTTTCTATACTTGCATTAATTCGATCTTCTCTTATAATTTCTATTGTTTCATGCTTGAAAGGAAAAGTTTTAAATATAGGTTTTTGAGATTCTGGCGTTTTTTTCTTCATATATGCGAATAATACAATTCTTACCTTTAATCCACCTTTTAAAGTTAACTCTCTTCTGTAAACATCTGCAATTTTTTCTTCGATTGATTCAAAGAAGGCTAATGGCTCGCTCTCAGCATAGTATCCTTTTGGTACAAATGCATAATAATCACACACTTCACCTTCATTAAAATTTTCTGCTTCTGATATTCTATTAATATATGGATCATTGATTTTCTCGAAATAGATATCAGGATCTTCATCAGCTGTATCATATTCTGAAGAAGCAGAGCTTCGATGTTCCACATCATCGCTTGGTTCACTATCTTCATCATCGTTTTCCATTAAATCATACTATTCCTCATCTGTTTTGGGTATGGGCTTTGATCTAATTTTTTTGTTATTTTTTATTCCTGGTTTTGATAGCCATTTTATTAATTCATCTATCGTTAAAATTGATTTCTTTTTTTGTTCTCCTTGAGTATTAGAACTTGGCCCTGCTTTTATATCTGGAATATCATCAGTTAAAAGATCGACTGCTGGCACATTTTCTTCTCTCAGCTGGGCTGGCTGGTATGACAGAGGATTTTTGTCAAATGATATAAGATTGCCTTCAGGAGTCGGTGCTGGATTTTTTACTGGGTTTTCAGCTAGATTTCCTACTGGAGCTGGGACTGGGTTTTGCATTAAACGCAAAGCCGGTAAACATTGACCTTTACGAAGGTTTCCATTTAAATTTATGTGTTTATTAAGATCTCGGGTTTTACTGGTTCTTATTTCTCGATCACAGCCTGGACACTTAAGTATCTTAGCCATAGTGATATGTATTCTGTGTTTTTTATTAATATAACCAGATCTTTTGTTTAAATTAAAATAATTAATTCAGTTATATAAATTTATCGAAATGCAGGGTGAATATACATGCGAATATATACACAACTCCAGAGTTGTCTGTGGATGCGGATGCCGACGTCGTGAAGGATGCCACGAACATTGGAGAGCAAAAAAACGTATTTTATGTAAGGTTTGTAGTAAGCCAACTTCTTCTGCACCCGGTACTTGTAAAAAACATGCTAAAGGATATTATGTTATACAGTTTTATGCTCGAAAGATGCTCGAAGAGTATCCATAGGGTCAGAAAATCGGCATAAGTTTAATTGATTGATATTGTTAGATGTGATAGCATCCTCACTTCGTGAGACCAAAAAATACACCTAAATTTTTAGCACTTATTATGGAATAATGACATTTTGTGTCTGTGCTTGTTCTGCTAATTATATTTTTTACTATACTCTTTATCAAAAGAATACCTTAAGAATGCTACTGCTTCACTTTACTTTGCAGTATTAAAAAAGCTAATTGTTGACTAAATAGATAACTAATACTCCGCTACGCTTCGCATTCAGAGTCGCTATGCTCCTCCAGGACAGAAAACGTTTTAGTAATCAAATAAGATAACTATGCTCTGCTACGCTTCGCATTCAGAGTCGCTATGCTCCTCCGGGTCAGAAAGCTAAATAGTAATCAAAATAGATATCAAAAAATACACTACAAGGTGTCATATATAAAAAAAAACACACTGCATATAGATTTATATAAGTCTATCAGGAACATAGTAAAAAGACTGAAATCTATAGAAAATGGAAGTATTTAAAAAAAATACACCCAAAATTGTTCTAAAAAGCCCACTATTCTACTGCTCCGAAGACTTAACCACATGTTACATCGGTATTACAAGAGTACAACTAGCCATACATACAACTTTTGGTTATCTAATTTAAGTAGTCCGCCCGAAGGTTCTACACTAGCTGCCATACCTATAGCCTAACT